AAATCTTCATAATCCTTTCGACTCCACTTTCAACTACGACTCTAACAACGGCTTGTCAGAAGAATCGTTACGTACGATCTATCACGATTTTGTCATATTTTTGAAAATCGATCAAATGTGACTATTAATAAAATTCATATGCGATATATATCGTCTAGTTTCGGATTCAATTTCCCAGCATTCGTTACGTCTGATATACAGGCAGCCGGAGTGTCTGGGGAGCTTTTCACAGCGCAAAACACAGAGAAAATACGATCAACGCGTGTTTAATCGCGCGACACTCTTCATTAGTCGTGATTAACGCGAAATAATGGCATCACCGTCAACGAAGAGCGCCGATCGATAGCGAAAAATTATTTAGCGCATCGGGGCGAACTGGGTCATTGATTCGCTTTGCGTTAGTTGCCGGGTAAGTACCCGCTAACCAAATTTAACTCCGACGAGAGCTCTCGTAATAAACGGATAAGTAAATCCATTAGCCGCGCTACCATAGTAACGCATAAATTCGTGATCCCCCGCGAATGCGCCGATAGCGATTCTTCGGTGTAATCGATTACACCACATTACGTCGCGTGACTGCATCGCCGGCATAACTTCTCGATGCGCTCGGAATATATCTCGGGGACGATCGCGGAGGTAAATTATTTCTCACCGCGGGGAAAATGGCTCTCACGTAAAACAGCGGAGCGTTGGTAAATGGTGTAGATCGGCGCGGAAGGGAAATCGGAGCACGAGGATAGAGAGCTGTCACCGTCAGCGTGAGCGTCGCATAAGGACGCGAAAGTTATGGCCGCGCCACTGCAGAATACCGGTATAGATCCAGGGATGGATGAACACCGTGGTTCCGAGTGGGTAGCGGTTGGTCTGACGCAGCAAACAGAAAATAATACCGGGCAGCATTGTTCCCGTTTTGTTCCCCTTCTGTCCCGCTTCATCCACTCGCCATTCGCGTTCCGCTACTGCAGGATCATCCGCTCTATTGTATTTCGCCAGGGATCCTCTCTCACCCTTCTCATTTCCCTCCGCGACCCTTCCTCTATCCAGTAGTGCTTCGCCCGATCCACCTGTTTTTTTTCTTTTTTTTCTTTTTTACTGCCTCGCCTCGAATGGCGTACGTATTCCCATTTTTTAGTCGAAGTTTAAAGAGAGGGAGGAAGAGAGAAAGGATCATGACAGATTGCAGCGTTTATTCCAAAAAGAAAGGTGACGGTCGCCTATATTATTAAACGCCTTCGCGAAGTATTAAAGTTATTCCGTTGTGGGCTGATTACATGACGTCACAAGAATTTACGTGAAAGCTCGAGCATAATTTGCTTTAATACAAGAAAATAACGACAAAAATAAAAAATAAGATAAAAATAAAAATGGATACACGAAAAGTATCAATTAGAGAGGATGAAGCATAGAAATAAAAGTATTCGATATTTCGTTCCCATTTCGAAAGGTGCAGGAATATTTTTTACTTCTAATTTCAGCTCGTACAGCCTATCACTCTTTATTCACGGCGTTTTGCAACATTGTTATTTAATTCGACAAAAAAATATTTCTAGCGGACGACTGTCATACGCGTGCACATCCTCGTCCCTTCCTGTATATTTCCGGCCATATTTTACCGTCCCTTGGACGGGAACTATGAGAACCGATCCGCGACAGATTGAAACGTTTATTCGAAAGGGTGGATGCGTAACGGCATGCCGCTTGCGATTCATCACGCGTGCCGATGAAATATACTTTCTCGGCGAGCAAATGTATACGAAAACTAATTTTCGATGGCCATCCGGCGCGCTGATTCGGCCTCGTTTTTCAATTTTCCGCGCGCCGTCGTCGCCATCGCCGCCGCGACGTAATCGTGAAATATGATTATTCCGTCTCGCGTAGATTATTTTTAACGCTCGACTTCTCTCCTTCGTTCTCGCTTCGCGCTCGCTTCCGTTCGGTGATCGACGAACGATCGATCCGTGCCGAAGTATCGAGTCGAATCGAAACGATCCAATCAGGCCGACTTTCGAGCAACGATATCGCGCGCAATCCGACGAGTTGATTGAAATATCCGACGCGCGCGCAGTTTTTCCATGACGAGATTTTCACTAGCCGCGGATTGTTTCCGCAATTTTCCACGTGTTTCCCGGACGCCTATGAATATCCCGTTTTTATGATCGACAACAAACGTAACTTTTCGCACGCAGCGCGCGTAGCTCAGAGCTAATCCGATCAAGCTCGAACGTAAATCCATTTCTGTCGATCTGTTCCCTTTTTCTACTTTTTGGTATTTTTGTGTAATATTTTTAGTAAGATATAATTTTAAATCAATTAAGTTATTCGATAATAGAATATATGGAGACAAGCTAAGCGCATAAGGAAATAATTGATAATTAATAATACTATCATTGCATTGCAATTTTTGGAATTTACGAATCTTTTATCGAACTTAAGAAAAGGAATCGGTATTCCTTTGCAACAAAATGCTAGTTGCATGCAACAAAATATACAGCTGTAACGGAGAATGGTGATTGACGTAGTTTGCGAATCTCTGAATTCAATAGAATTCCGCCAAAACTCTCAACTAAATCTGGTGGTTCTCCGAAGCGCTGTCGACGAAATTCAACCACTTTGCAGCCAAACGACAAGCGATCGCATCAATTTGGCGAGCTAAAATAAACTTTTCAAGACTGTCGATACGCTGTCTGATATACGAGACGCATAACAACGATATGTGCTCCAATTAAAAGCATAATTAGGACACCTAATAGCGTTTCCTATTCAGCGTAATTTCATCGTCATTGGTTATACATGTAAGTAATTCGCACATTTAGCAGAATTTAATTTAGCAATCATATCAAAATTGTAAATTAGTCAAAAAAACCTACTATTTGCAAGAGAATTTCATTACCTAAAATTTCTCTTCTTTTAAAGATAATAAATATTTCATTATATTTGAGCCTCTGAAAATACAGAGAGGAAAAATATCAAATTAGCGTGAGCAGCAATTAATTATATCCCGTCAGACGCAAAGTGCATATTATTAAAATAACGAAATAAAATAATTGGAGATCATAAAAATAAAAAGTAAAAATACAATTATTTGATACGTCAAAAAAAATCAATCGTATACGTTACAAATTATAATTAGGAACTTTTAAATTTCTTATAAATGTCTTATAAATCTTTTTTCCGACACATTGATATGTAGGTATTTACAATTACAAATTAACAAATCATATCAGTAGATATATATCAAATTATCAATGATATATTAAACGGGGCAAATTATCGATACGAAAACGTAGCTTCTCTCTACCCGCAGAAAAAATACCGACGATGTATTTAGAAGTAAATTATCCGGCGGATTAAGGGCGTCGTCCACGCGAAAAAGAGGTTCGTCGATCTCTAAGGGATCTCTCGAGTATGTAGGACGATACTCCATTCTTCCGGATGACCGTTACGAAAAAAGGGGATCGAGCCATGGAACGATTTATTAAGATCCTCGACGGTCTCCCGGGCAGAAGGTAAACTAAGGAGCCTGGAAGACGGGACGTAGAGAGCTAACCGAAAGAGTAGCCAAGAAGGATGATCGTAAGGCGCGGCTCATCTTGGAAAACCTTAACGCTCCGCAGGATCGAGAAGACTCCTTCTCTCTTTCTCTCTCTCTTTCTCTCTCTCTCTCTCTCTCTCTCTCTCTCTCTCTCTCTCTCTCTCTGTGCCTATTTTTCTTTCTTTCTCTTTCTCGAAAAACAAAGTATCAAGCGCGGAATCTCTCTCTCGAGAGCGATGGAAATAAATCTCGCAACGTCATATCCGTAAACATACTCTTACCAGAGGAATTTTACCGAGAGTAAAAAGGGAAGATTTCATAAGAATCGCGGTGCTTTGCGTGAGTCAGGCGAATTTCTGAGACATAAAGAATACCGCGCGGTAATAATTTCTCATTTACCTTTCCCTCTCCTATATTAACGTTACCCACAGCATTAAATTCCTCGGCGATATAGAATTATTCGTAGTTCGCGAATTTCGTAGTTCGCGAATTATTCGCAACCGTTATTTCTTATTCCGACATTTAGCTCTCGCCGTTCCGTAACGATCGCGACGCAATATAAATGATTTTATGACTTACTCGGAGGCGGGATCGCCCAGCCACATTGACTTTACCTCGAGATTGAGAAGAATCGTTTATCAAACGCCAATTTACGCGCCGAGTTTAACTCAGCGGGAGATGATTATCTAATTTTGCAACAATTCGTGTCGCTCGTTGTCGCGATTTTTCCGAGAAAATTTCATCACAACACAGACTCAAATATGCAGGAGTCTGAGAAAAAAATAGAAAATGTTCCGCTAATATTTTAATTTTGATATCAGAATCTCTTGAAGAGAAAAACTTGTATAATTAAATCGACATTGATGTAACACTTTTTAAAATGTTCTCCAGATTTTATCATGCGCAACTTTTCCTCGCCGGACATCTCGGCAGAATGGATCGTACGAGCACCAACAAATCGCTCGTCGTGAAAAACGGGGAATATTACTAGGTTTCAGCCGAGGAGCATATTTACCAGCGGACGTAATCACGAGCTCCGCGCCGCTCACTTCTGCCAACGCACGGCTACTTTCACGATGTCGTCACGACCGCGTGTATTGCCCATTAATGTGAACTACGGCCCGACCATTACGTCGGTATGCTCGCTTTCGAAATAAAAGACAACAAATCCCGCACACCCATGACACGCGTCGGCCGTAAGATCGCGCGTTATTACACGTGACCTCCGATATTTTTAGCCGGACAGACCTTCGACATGGATAAAAATGCGATGGGCGTGTTCGCTCGCTCTCAATTGTATTACAGTTACGACATCCGAGACGTTGAAACATAACGAATAATTTAGTAGCCGTTACGATAGAATCTCGACTCGACACTGGATACAACGACGCTCAGAGGTTACCTTTATTTTTGTCAACTATCCCATCGAAATAGACACTTGAAAGGAGTAACGAGTATATGTACTCACCCAAGAAGATCTCGTCGATGTCGTCGGCGTGGAGATCAAGGTCGTACTCGGGCGCTCCGTTGTTGCCGGGAGCCTGATGGCTCCTCTTTGCCAGGTCCATCAGCTCCAGGAGATCGTCTCGCAGCTCGAGGCGGCCCGCGGCCAGAAGCTCGGCCAGCAGGGTCAAGTAAGGGGAGGTCAACAGGCGCGGGCTGGTAGCACGCAGGCAACCGGGTAACCAGAGTCCTGGGAGGCTGTACGGAACCACTGGTACCGCTCCGGCACTGACGAAGCCACCGTTCAGGAGTTCGCCGCACAACATAGATGCCGCGATGACCTCAGCTCCTCCCTCGTGACCTTGGCACCGCCTCGATGTCGACTATCTGCAAACCACACACAGGCGCCTTCGATTAGAGCGAGAGCCGGGGACCGTCCCTAGTGCGAGCAGACGGGAGAAATTAATTGCGAAACTTGCGGCAAGTTCTTCAAAGGTTAACGGAGTAAGAAATGGAACGAAGGTGGAGAGTGTTTCGCGACTTCTCACGGTGAAAAAGTCGAGAGACTGAGCTTTACGAGTTCCTCCCGAGCGGGAGTTTTTAGATCTGAAAAAGTCAGCAGCTGTGTTTAACGAACGGAAATGAGTTAAGATTGCAACAGCAAGGATGATTATGCAGCGGGAGAGTAAAAAAAGGAATCATTAATTACTTTAAAAAATAATTATAACTACAAACAATATTACAGAAATTGATAGTAAAGCTGATAGTATGCTGATTAGTCTGTCTCAAGTACCAAATAATCTTGAAACTTTTTATGACTTGTTCATTGATATACATCCATTCGTACAAATAATTTTAAAAATAATTTTCTTTTTAGAAAGTAAAGTTTCGCAAAATGTGAATATAATATCGATACATTACGAAATGTAATTTCATTCGTAAAATATTTTTCTTTCATTCACGTAAACTTCACAGACGCGTATATGCATTTTATTAATTTATTTAGTTTGAAACGAACCTTCATTCCTGATGCTATCAAGAAAAAAGAACTTAAAGCGTTAGAATCAGTTAGCTTTCTTTCAAAAAAATTTGCATGTGTTATACAGATTTTGCGAAGTTCCAGTAAATTTTATTATGCAGAAATGCATTCTTTTAACAGTTTGCGTCGCGCCATATATTTGTCATAGGTTTGCTAGTTTTGTTAATATTATGCACGCGTATCTCGATGGGAACACCGCATTGTCGAAATCGTCACGAGGCGACATTAAATATACAATTCTATAGGCAAATGTGAAAATCGGGAGGAACGATGTGGAAGGACGTGGTATAATAATAATAGTCGTGAAATTTCGAGTCCGGTTTCGGTAACAAAGGAGGTCGGGGTCGGGTAATACCGAACGCGAAATAACCTAGGGAACAATACGATCTCTCGCAGACGGGCAAATGCGCACAATTATCGTGAAATATATACGCAAATTAATCCTACCCACGCGAGCAGGTCCCGATGAAACACTAACCAAATAGAGTAACGAGAAGGCGTTGCCGACGAGAGATAACGGGTGTTCGAAAACGAAAGCGTCCGAACAATCAAGCCGACAGAGCGATTCGATTTGATCGACTATGGTTTATGAAGCTAAATGAACTAAGTTTATCGATTCAAATACGATAGATTTGCTCTAATCTTATCGAGTTCTCTTCAACGTCAATGGACATCATTCTCTTTATGCGAATTTCATATGTAAATATTCTCAGGCACGCCTGAGAATTTAATATAAATATTTCAAATAGTTTATACATGTTAACGTACATAAACTTATACAATTTTAATCGTATTTTTGTTACCAACAAACACGCTGTGTATTAATAATTTTCAAATAAAATCAGAAAGATATATCCTTTAGATCGATCGCGATAGGAAAGATGATCCTTTAGGTCATTCGACGTCGTATCTTCTCAACGTTGAATATATCAAGTGAAAACAGTTAAATTCACGCACCATTTTCCCACGCATACGATAGACGAGAGATTCGTGATGAACGACGCGAATTTTTCCGAGGGGAAACGTGACACAGATCGTGGAACTTCCGAATATTCTTGGAGAGGACACGCGGACGCGCTCGATCGCGGACACCGGCGATGCGGCACTGAACAGCGCAAATGGAGCGTGACAGGCGGAAAATCGGAAGTGATCCAATAGGGAGGAGAGGCATTCTCATAGAGCCGACTACCTCTCGGCGCGATGCATGACGTCAGGTTTAACGCGGGTGTGAATGCATCGAGTGATCTCATAGCGACAAGGCTGTGATAAGCACCCGATGCACCCAGCATCCCAGTGATAAATGGCAGACGAGAGTTGACGGGTTTCACGAGACCACTTTGAAAATAAATCTGATTTCGCCTCCACGCGTTATGAATTAAAAACTCTCTTATTAATCAGAAAAAAGTTATTCAAAAATCAAGAAAGAGATTGTGTAAGCGGAATGCTTCAACATTGCAATAATAATAGAAAGCTGTCTATTATTTTGTAAATAAAAGAGAATACTTTTAAAGATATATAATTTAGTACTTTCAGATTCGAGAATTATCGATCGTATATAAAAGTACTTTTTTTTTGTTTAGCAGAGTGTCTATTCAAATCAGAAAAAAACGAGAAAAAATGAGATTTTCAAGGCGATTTGTTAAAAATTTCAAGTAAAATAAAAATATTTAAATATTTAAAATGTATTTTACAAATAAATACATATTTAATATTTTATTTTCCAAAAAAGTTTATAGATCATAAAATAAAATTCAAAATCATTCGAATTTCAATAATTAAATTTAACAATTGTTAAAACAAATTATAAAAACTTTAAAAAATAAATATTTTATAAAATATTTTCAAATTTTATTTCCAAAAGCTACAAACAAAAAATTATGTTATACATAACCAAAATTTAACTTTTACAAAACTAAAATTATTAAAATAAATATCTTCGCTCAAACAAAATTACAACAAACACGAAATAGTTATCTCCAATATTAAATATTGGATTTCATCATAAATTCAGTGTGTTCTAAAGATCTCAGAATTTAAAAATAAAATATTAAAAAATCCATCTCATTTAATTTAAAAATCCCTGAGGTTTCCTGCTTTTTCAAGGCATAAACAACAAATTCTCTACAAATTCCAAGTAGTAGACACCCTGATTAAAAAATTAATTCAATAAGAGTTTCATTTTTATTAGTAAATATTTGTTATTGAGAAATATTTCAATATGAGATTCTACAAGACGGTGTTTTAGGATGAAAATATAAAAAATTTACGTTGCGTATCGAGAAAGACGCGACGATCCTCAAGAGGTACATTCCTGGGCACACAGACACACGTTTTCCTCGCGGATCATCGCCGAGTCGAGCGTGGCGAATCAGAGACGTGATACACAGCGAAAACATCTCGTCCGTTAATCCGATCGCCTACGCACGAATTCCTGAATACACGTACACGAGATTACATTATACGCGTCTCGTGCGCCACGAGATTATGTCGCGAGACATTCCCGCGAACTTCGGCGTCCCTGAAATTTCGGATCGGAATTCGCGGCATCGCGCAGCGGCGTAGTGACACGGGGAACACGAACTACGTTCGCGTTCTATCCCTCGCGAGATCGAGCACCGCGGACGGTAAACACGACGAAATTACTTGGCGGAATCCTTGGAGAATATTCGTTACGGTAACCGGCGTAACGCTTGCGGCTTGTGAGGTTGCGGGGATTCCGCGTGCATCACCGCCGTCGCGGAAATTACTTGGAGAAGAGCAAACATATAATGTCATCCGTATAGCGTATGATAGAAATTTGCTCGTGGTATTATAATGTAATCCCTAATTTTTCTGGATCCCCTATACGATGGCGTGCGCCATCGTTCCTGTCTTGCGAATTCTCTCTTTGAACACGACCGGGAACAGTGGCGAATGTAAATTCATATTTTTCAAACTCCGGCGTAAATACGGGAAAATATATTTTACATGTAAAATATATTGGATATCTTTTTTCTATAAAAATATATTGGATATCTTTTTTCATGTATATTAATTAGACATACATGATTTATTTCACGGAAGAGTTGCAGTGTTACATGCGCATGTTGAATCCGTGGAATGTAACGGAAAATTACTCGTAAATTCTCATAAGAAGGGTTCAATCTTCCCCTTTCGAATTCCCTTGAGTCATGGAAAATGATTGTAGCCACGATAGCGTCGCGCGAAATCGAAGCTGCATAATTTTCTGGCTCACGAACCGGGCGATCGATCTGACGAATTGCATCGAGTGCATCGAGAATGCACATGAATAACGCTGCATCCCCGTGATTTAACGGAGCGAAATATACAGATTGAGGACGTGTCTGTCTTAATGCGCGTCTATAAGCTCCGTCGAAAGAGACTTGCTCCTCGAACATAAATTGACGTTGGAAGCTGTCATTAAAATTATATTGTAAAAAAAACACGCTGTATACTACATATTCCCGTCAGATATAAATCAATATTTGTTAATATTCACGAAATACATGTTTTCCAGCGCAACATAATCGCCGTAAAATCCGGAACTTTCAATCATCAATATTAAATACCGCTTCGACTCCGGCATGATAACAAGTATCGGATTGGTTAGCGTCGTCGCGGCAAGCGCAAATATTAGCAATACATTTCCGCTTGTCAATACATCGTGATATCTGCGCGTGTAGTAACATCAAAACGGAAACACATCCATACGCGACGCATGACGCAATTAATGTTCGCAGATTTTTTTGTTTACTACGAGCGACACGTCGCAGTTATGCCGTACGGTTTATTTCACAAAACGGTCAAAATGAAATCGTGTACATATGTTATGCAAAGAAGGGAAAAAAAAGTGTTCAAAATAAAAATTCTCATAAAGGCGTGAAAAAAATCGAATCGATGAAAAAAAACATGTACACGAAGACAAATCAACTCTCATGATCTTCTTTCGGTTGCAACCGAAAGAAAGAGAAATTATTAAAATTGCAAGCGTTAATTTCAATTAAATTATTAGTACATTTATCAAGAGAGAGGGTACGATAAACAAACTCATGTATACGCACCACGAGGTGGGAGCGCTAATTATTAGCGTAAGTAAAGGCCGGGTTGTGTGCGCCTGGGTTAAAATTCTTCCCTCGTTACTCGCACGCGATTCGCACGAACGGCAAGTAGAATTCGCGAGCGAGGTACGCGTAGAATTGCACTATTACCGGGCTGAAGGATGAATCACGACCGGCTACGAATACCGCGATACCGGTACTGCCAACTTTCCGGATAACGCGGAGAGACGGGGGGGAGCGCGGTGGATGAAGGCATCGACCAGGGGCGGCAGACGAACGGGCGCCGTAGT